GCTATCGTCTTGAGATGGAGCCTGGCCCCTCTGGGCCAGAGCTAGAGTGGCTCTGTGTCCGTTGGTTGCTGAATCTGCAGAACCATTTTCCTAGACAGTTGTTTTCAGGCAGGGATGTCCTTCGGTAGCACTCTCAGCTCAGGCTCTCCTCCTTCCAATAAACCTGACTTTCATTACATGGACCCTGTACTAGGAGGGAGCTTGTCCTCAGTACCATTCCGGTTGTGCCAGTGCAGAAGGGGAAGTTTCTCTTTAACTATGTTCATCTCCTTAATAACTACAAGAATTTTTTCGGTACCTGCCTTGTCTGTGACCTTAAACCTGCTCTTGGCCTCAGGAAACTAGGATTTTCTTTAGATCCTCCTGCCCCATTTTGTCACTCTTTTTCATTGTAAGCCTAGACGAAGGGCAGTGAGCAATAACCATACCACAGCCTAAATGCTGCCCTGCCTGGAAATTTCCTCTACCAAACAAATTAGTCCATTACTTTTGACTTCAGCCTCACTAAGTTCTCAGGATACAAACAGAATAAAGATAGATTCTTTACCAGAACATAACACCAGTGTCCTCTAGCCCCATCCTGAGTTAGCCCACTATTTTAGTTCCAGTCTTCCACGTGACTGCCATAAACCAGTTCCAAAGGCCTCTATAATCTAACTTATTACAGGAACTGCCTCACTTCACAGTATTATTATTTTTTTATAAAAGTTACTTCTCTTATTGTTGTCATAAAATACCTGACAAAAAGAACTTACAAGGACATTTATTTTGGCTCGAGGAATAAGGTACAGTCTGGCATGGCGACAAGAAATGTGAGGTAGCCGGTCACACTGCATCACCAGCAAGAAGTGTGAGGTAGCCGGTCACACTACACCACCAATCAAGAAGGAGGCCACAGACAGGAAGTGGGCATGGCTCCAGTGGGCAGGACTCGAGGACCTTCTTTTCCCCAAAGGCCTACTTCCTCCAGCCAGCTACTTCTTAAAAGTTACAACATGGCCTTCCATAACTAACTGTACTACCATTTGGGGGCCAAATATTCAAGCCCATGAACCTGTGGGAGACCTTCCCGTTCAAACCATAACATTTATTAAGTCATCTCCAGAAGCGAATCTACATTATTGATAGGAATTACCCTCATGTTTCTTTTCAGAGGCTCTGGCTTTATTAATTAGATAGCTTATATACCTACTCTATGAAATGGAGCGCCTGTGGATTAGAGGGAAACAGGTAAAACTATCAAGTCTAGTGATGGTCTAGGTCTAGAGGTGTGACTAAGACTCCAGCCCCATAGATGGAAAACTACATAAGTGACAGCTAAGGTGAGCCACTTGCCATCCAGAGGAAGTTAGTTCTTAGTTCATCAAGTGTGTTAGCTCATCACCACTGTAAGAACAAAACTGGGTCAGGTTCCTGAGTCTCTCTTCCAAAGGCATGGTCTCATCTTGCGCTCAGTCTGCTCTCCCTGTCTGGCCCTCCTTGTTCCCACTGATGTTACCTCTCTTAAGAATGTGACCCTGTGTTAGCTTCTAGGGCCTATCCTGACCAATTTATTTAAAATTCTAACATTCACTACTCCAAACCACTGTACCTTATTCTAACTTTTCTTCTGTATCATTAACTACCTTTCAGTACACTCTATCATCAACTTAAATTGATACTCATTTTCCAGCACTAGCATTTAAGATACCTCATACTCTGGTGTTTCAGTTTTCCTTCACCAAAACCCAACAAATATTTAGAACTGCCCCTGGCAAAAAGCAAATGCGAGGCTATCACATAAATAAATTCAAAATGGAGGTGTAATTTCACATATGTACCCAAAGATGAAACCAGCTAATGGTTCCACAGTTGCTCTCTGAGTCCAAAAGCCAAGAGATTTCACAGCAGTGATACGAGTGTTCATTCATGAGTCTGGGGCACGACCTTCTTGCTAAATGTAGTGTTCTCTGTGTTTCCAAGCTTCCTTGTTACCAGTTTAACCTCACCTATTTATGATTGCCACGCCAAGAGTGTTTCTACAAACTCGAGCATCCACTCACCGTGAGAAGCTTCTCTGGTCTCCAGGAAACAGCACCGGGCCTCTGTGTGGATAGCAGGGAGTGGAGAGTGTAGCACTTCACAGTTACCCAGCTATGGGTGTTTTAAGGCCAGGTAAGTGAGTGAGTAAGTGAAGGCTTGGCCTTAGAATACTTGGGTTGTTCACTGAGATAGGACCTAGCTCCAGTACCAAACAGAGATGAAAGGGAAAAAAAAAAAGCAAAGAACAAATCAGAAGATCATGTGTCTTGAAGGAGTTATCTTTAAGGAGGAGAAACACTGCTTAAGACAAAGACTAGTTGAAACAGATTTATTTTGTCTTTGGAGCCACAATTCCTTAGGCCCTAGAAGCTAACACAGGGTCACATTCTTAAGAGAGGTAAAAACAAGAGCTGTGGCTGGAACTGCATGGTAAAACTGGTTGTTTGAAGGCGAAGCTATCAGCTCGATGATCAGAATCATCATACACACGAAAACACAGCTACGTGTACATATATATAAGAAAGACCGCCACTCACAACTTAACGTAGGTAATCAGAATGACAAACAGTAGTAATAATGAAAACTATGGGCTTTGCAAAGTCGGTGCTTTTGACTAGAGATTAAATGGTAACAATTCAAAAAGAGTCCTATCTCCTAACCCCCTTAAGGTTATATACGACGCTAAATAAGACCCTTGAATAAAAGTAAAATAACATATACATCTTAGGGCTCTTCGTGAATCTTTAATGGGGCGCTAGCTGATTAAGACATTAAATCATTTACTAAAAAAAAAATAAATAAATAAAACCTCATCATCCCATGTCTAGAGCTTACCACAGATCACGAGTAGAACAAATCACAATAAATAATAAAATATAGAGCTTTCATTGAGGACTTTTGTGTTTTCACTCTTGCCTCTTCATCCAAAGTATATTTATACAGTCCCTAACTCAGATGTTATTCTTTCTGAGCTCAAACCCCATCTCTTTCTGCATGGTCGGCTGCCCTTTGAAGCCCTCTTCTCATCTCAGGTACGCTGCAGTTCCAGTGAGCCTCTTCAAGCTTTGGATTCAAGTGTCTGTTCATTTTAACATCTATTCTTTCAGAACCTTTGCTGGAACAACTACTTCCCCAGTATAATAATTGTTAGCCTTGCCAAAACAATTTAAACGTATTTTTTCAATACTCTCACCATTAGAAGAAAATCATTAGACCTCTGGGAGTGAGATATCATCACTTAAAAGTTTAGTTTGAGAAAATTCATAAACCCTTTGACCCTCTTAAAAGACGGCTGCACAATACTGGGACAACTTTCGCCAACTCAAAAAAGAGGCTTATGATTCACCAACGCTAGTCGAAATCATCTGATTCCAAGTTAATTCAAAAGAAATAATCGCGTTTAATTCATATTAAAACTTATCTTTTAATCAGCTAGTATTTCAAGTAGGAAAGCAACCAGATAAAACTATTACTCACTCAACTTACATAAATTATTGTTTATCCTAATATAACTGACAAAATGGATGGAACTTGTGATATCGATTTTCTGTTATCACCTCCGTTTAGTTTGAGGAGTAAGGGGAGTCCAGTGATGAACTAGGGAAACTCGTCTTGAAACTGCATGTTTAAGCCTTGATGAGAAACTTACTTTATACCTGGAGCACTTTTAGCTATGACTACTTGGTCATGATATGAATCGGCAGCTTTGCTACTCTATTAAACCGCTTTAAGACCACCAAAACTGAGAGTGTAGGTCCTTTACCTCACTTTTATCAGAAGGGATGGGAAAAACTACTAAGGAGATACTTGGAAACTTTGAAAATTTTCAAAGCCTGACAATTACTCATCAGATTTCTGTTTCCAAAGGCATTTTGCAGACAATTTTCATGATTAGCTCCCATTCTGGATGGCCCATCCAATCCCCGCTCTAAACCGGCACTTAACGCTTATTAAGCGCCCACTGTGTGCAAGGAGAAAGCATTCTACAAAGCAAAGGGGCATAAGGCTCTGCCTCATTTTATTCGTGCATAAACGCACAGCAGTCGTGATTTACTCTCTCAACTTTGCAGAAACGTGAGCTGCATCCACACGGCCGAATCCACGGCATTCATTTGGTCTTCTCGAAGCAATTCACAGGTAGCCTCACCCAGGCAACCGGCTGCCCTCTTCACCCACCAGGCCACTCTGGGGAGCGGCCACACCTTCTGCAGGTGGCTGGGTCTCGAAGCACCAGACCCATCTCTCTCCGCAGGGCTGGTAGGGATGAGAGTGCAAACGTGGTGCAAGGACTTCCGTGAGGAGCAGGACTTACAAGGTCCCTGAGTCCCCGGAGACACAACTGGCCCCGCGGGGCGCCCCTCCCCCGCGTCCCCGCGCCCGCGCCGCGCAGGCCCCGCGGGGACGGGCGCACCTCCGGCCTAGCCGCAAAGCCAGCGCCGCGACACGCCCGCCCACCGCCCGCGGGCTCCCCTCCGTTGCCGGGGCCTCGGGGCGCTCCGGCCGGGGAT